CAGGTCTTCACAAGGTGACCTGTACGAGCATCGCTGTATCATGTCGGTATCATGTGGTGCCCCCTCCAAGTCGAACCGCGCCTGATTTTACTACAAACAAAACTGACTTCTAATTCTAACGCGACTAGTACGTTTAACCTGAATTACTTAAGCGAGAGCAATGAGTTTACCCCAGAGTAACCCAAGTACGAGTAATGGGTTTAGCGCTGCTGGGATAATTTTAGTCGAAAAGTGTTTTCATGTCGGCTCCGTGACTGATATTAGCTGCGAATAGATTCAATTAGTTTTGTTGTTGTGAAGGGTGTGTTCAGAGCGTTTGAGTGGGAACTTGCACGAAAGTTTACGGTTGCCAAATCTTCCAAAATAGGCCACGTGGTGGTCAAGGGATTCTCAACAGGGGTTGTATTTGCACCCCCCCCCTCCACCGACTCACGGTCGATGGCTTCCTGGGTGACTACAATTTCTTTACCTGGGCTCAGTCTGTGAGTCTAGAGACAGGCTCCAGGCGGCACAATCATAACTGAGTGAAACTACAGGTACGAGCGAGGTGGAGGGGTGGGGGAGGGGGGATGGGGGAGAGAGAGGGAGGAACGTGGGGTTAGGTAGGAATTAAGTCTTGGGTTAAAGGGGTTCCCGAATGGAGACTGTAGGAAAAGGAAAGGTCTGTTTTCCCAGGACGCGCCGTGCTTCAGACGAATGCCCCAGAATGGTGCCGCCGTGAAGACATCGAGTTGGCTCGCAGTCTAATTGAAGTGATCTCAAAGGGTTTAATAGCCCTGTACTTTCCTTTGGCCAAGATTCTTGAGATAACCCTCTTTCTAAGGATTTCTTTTCATGTTAATCTCATCCATATTAACTTTATGTTATGAAATACAGTTTTTCACCATCGCCCCCACCTGTCAGCCCAGCTAGTTGATCCAAGTGAAATCCCTTCGATTTAAGCTCTTTCTTCAAATAAAATAAGCTTCGCTAATACCAAATCTCCTTATAATCCAGTCTATATAATTGAAATACTCCTCCATTCAGCCCTCTCAGCCGTTCTTTCGCTCACTTTCCCACCTTCCAGGTTAGGGAGGAGTTCTTGTGATTCCCCTTTTACCTAAGTGAATAGTCGATTAATCTGCTCATTTACCAGTTCCGCGCTTCCCTCACGACACATTTACCCTTGAGGGATTATTAGACGTGAGATAACCTATCCCTTATGGTTGGAGATCCGGCCTTCATCAGGGGTTTTTTGTTGTCATGAATGAGCTCAGGTGCAATTCGGGCATCAGTAACGTTGGGGGGGGAGACAGAGGGAGGGAACAGAGGAGGAAGGGAGGCACACGCTGTAAGGCCCTTTGTCAGCCACATCATCAATCCTGTGCACCGGTAAACATCGTGAATACCGAACGAACCTTGTCAAGCACCCTGAATCGCTACACCGATTGTCAGCGACTTTTAGCAGGACTTATGCTCGGTTTAGACACGAAAGTGAAAAGACCAAGAAACAAAGACGTATGACTTACAGATGTGGCCAACCCCAAGGTTACCAGCGCCGAAGTATTGAATAGTTTCCTCTCCTAAACTGTGGTGTCCTTTCAAGGCGTTCTCATGAGCGATCTCTGGAGAGGAAGGTCAGAAAACATTGTTTACGGCTCAAAGTAATTTTTAACGTCTGTTCAAATGGTTTACGAACATTGACCTGAACTCACGATGCGCTAGTGGTTTCAAATTTCAATGCCTCTCATCATCGCATGGGCTCCTTTTATCATCACTCTGGCGCTGTTCGTCCTAGAGGGGGGCACTTTGCACTTTTACTAGCTCCTTTTGTTGGTTCATGTTAACTAACAGGTCTCATTCATTTTGCGAGACCTGAACTCGTGTGAAACTTCAAAGTGAGCCACTTTGGTTACAGGAGTTAACAGGTCTCCACAAGATAGCATAGACAGGCTCTATTGAGTAACATTTGGTGCTCCCACCAGTCCTTACTCCGCCCACCCCTCTGTCCACTCTTTTTGTATGGAAGCTTACTTCGTTTAGTCCGCTGGGTAAATGGACCAATAGTATCGGCGCGGCGAAAGAGGTGTCGCGCACCCGCAGCGTATCATGCAGCGACAGCACAATTTCAGTGCGACGCCCCAACGTGAACCTCTTGATACTCTTGGCTTGGAAACAGTCGATCCTCAGCTCTTCCTATATCTTTGAAATATCGCTGTTTTCTCCAGGACGCAGTTCGGCTTCGTAGGGGCATATTGCTGGTTCCCATCGCTCATTGCCGGCGCACCCTGTAAAGACCTGTAAACTCTTGGAAAGGTGTTCAATAATCACGAGTTCTGTTTATACTTGACAACAGTCTACAGATCTTAACAAGGTGAAACGTGTAAGTTAACAGGAGCTGGTAAGAAATACTGTCGAACCCCACTTGGCCTTCCTTAGACAGAGAGCGCTCTTTCCAGCAATTCTTGGGGAGCATTTATGAGCTAATGACTCTCTCCTCGCGATTCCTTCCGTTTTCTTTTCTTTTTTTGTTTTCTTTTTCCTACATTTTTCGACCCCTTCGTTCTCGTCGAAGTAGAACATTCACACTATGCAAGGTCTGGCTGCATTGCTATGGATGTTGCATGAAGTTCCTTGTAAAGGATTCATTCCCCTAAAGAAACAAACAATGAAAAGCGGCTTTCTGAGAAAAAGCCTGGGCTGTGGGCGTGGCCAAAACTGATTTTGGACAGGAGGTGTTTGAACGTATAGGTAATACCATGTGGCATATAAAGTTCTCACTTTGCTCGCATAAGTTATACATCCGTAATGAATTTGAAAAAGCTCTGAGGGTTTTCCTTTTTTGTTGTGTGCATCAGAACAGAATCGATTTTCTCGATTATTCGCCGCATTCGCGAGCTATGTATGAACGTGCGAGAAACGGATGTGTGGGCTTATTTCTTGCCTGAATACCTTCATGGATGTCCAAAGCATGTTACAATTGAACACTTCTGGTCCAAAGCCATTTGCCAATAAGCCTGATCATTCACAGAAGTGATTCCTCAAACTTCAATGCCCCGCTCCAGGTTCGTGAGCTCAACTCGAGGGTTCTAAGAATCCAAAGAGTGGCATTTTAAGAGGCCCCGTTCTAAAAAAACTGAAGAATGCCTTCGATAAAGTAAGAATGCCTTTACCCCATTCCATAACCTTTTATTATTCACATTTGGTCGAGCTCTTGATTGTCTTTCTCAAGTGCCATCGATGAAATTTCCGATTCCGCCGCCGATCATACCATTTCCCTCGACAACCGGGCGACGTCGCATCGCGGCGATTCCCGTCGCGTTTCGACTTACTGTCGGCTCGTTTTCATCATTATCTTTTGCTGGCGATCCGTTACGTCGTCGTCGGTGTTTTTTTCCACTTGCGATCACTTTTGCCCAGCAATCGATCGCTCGGTGTTTCGTTCGTTGAGGCGCTGCGACGCCACACCGTTGCTGTGGTGTCCTTTCCATCCATTCCTTCACTGGTTATTTCTCGGTTGCGGTGGTTTTCTGGCTCTTTTTTGAGGGTTCAGAACCTCTTGTGGAGCCTAGCTGGGTCCTCCTAGTCTAGCTTTGGGCTCTCTTCGTCCAGTTTTGCAGATTACTCAGTCCATCAGAAGCCTTTTTGCATAAAATGAGCCGTTCTGTTGGCGACTCGTCGGTTACAGGCCATTTACCCGCTGGCCTGGACGTGGGAGGTTTCAAAGGGCTGGGTTTGGCGCGGCGCCAGCCTCTTTCTACCAATTCTAGAGGCTAAGCTGGCAGGCGACCACTGTTGGCAGAGAACAGCCTAGCGCCGCGCCAAACCAAGCCCCTGAAACGTCCCAGCGTCCGCAGCGAACAAGACTACCTTCCTGGTCTTCTGTGAGAAAGGGGGAGGGGGGGAGGGGCATACCCTTGCCCCCCACCTTCGAAGTGAGGCTATACCCTCATGGTTTTCTTGAATCTGACTGGTTTCCTCTTGACAGGCCTCAGCTCCTTTCGTTGGGCTCTGTCTTCCGATAGCTCACACTCCAGTGAGGCCCGTGATGGGGCCTTATACGAACCATTAGGTCCATAATTTATCTGAGTCAGCAGTGTCGTGAAGCTCGGCCAAGAAAGGCTGACCTCGACCAGAAGGCAGAATTCCTATGTCCATTGGGAGAAAGACGAAAAGGCTTCCTTTTCCTCTATCATACCTCCATCTTGGAATGTTGTTGGAGCTGTTTGGATTGGGAGGGCATTTCTGAGTTCTGCTAGTTCCTTTTGTAAGTTCCTATTGAATTACATGTTACACCTTGGTTAGACCTGTAGACTTCTGTCAAGTGTGAACGGTGCTCCTGCTATTGTATAGTTTCACAGGAGTTAACAGGTCTATACAGAAGAAATTGGCAGTGATAGCTGGTAACCAGAAAATGCCCCCTCCAAGCCGAACTGTTTTTTGTCCTTGGTTTCTCACCGAGAAGTTCCTCTAAGACCGACTGTCTCACTGAAAACTGCTCCGATCACTTATTGTCATTATCATCAAATATTTTTCTCCTGATACCCTTATCTTGACTGCTCAAGCCTACATAGGAGTTCAAGTCCAAGCAGCTGCACTTTGCTTTTCTCTCGGATACTTTCGGCTTAATCGATATTCGATTGTATTGATTATTTTCTTTGCTGTATCTATCGAGCACTTGCCATTCGTCAGCAGACACATTGAAGATTTCGTTCTCTGACCTGATCCCACTCATTTCACAGTGTGCTCTGCCACATCGTACTCACGACAAGCAGCAATCGTGTAGAGCGGAAGAAGTTCGTTGGTCGCGACGACACCTGGAGAGAGCCGTATCAATCGAGTCGTTGCTGTTGCATCGCTCGCTATGAGCAGTCAAGTCACTGCCATTTCACCGCCACCACCGCTGTCCACTCAACCACCCCTGCCGAGCAGCGGATCCTCGTCGGCGTCGTCGTCGATCGGTCAATTGGTCGGCAACGGTGGCGACGTGTACATGACGCCGGTCACGGCAAGCGGTGGCGCCATCAACGTTGGCCCCACAAGTGCCTCATCCGACGGTGGCGGTGATTCTGGCGAAGAAATGGGACCGTTATCGCGCGATCGTTGCAACACTTGGCCAATGCGACGACCACAGTTGGACGTGAATGCACAGACGAGTCCATTGATACATGAGCAGATACCGGAGGAAGACGGAGAGTAAGTTTTGCGCGATTTTCCGGACTTTCTGTCTGGCAACTGTCCAAAGAAAATCGATACAGACATAACTTTGACCGATCCAAGGCAAATATTATAGCCTAGAAGTGCGGAAACTCAGAATGATCTCTAGGATTGTCAAGAAGGAGAGGCACCTGAATGAAAGGAACTACCTGTGAGATTCACACGGAAGTCGGAAATCGGAATTCGTGACGCGACATTGCTTAGCCTTGTTTGAGCTCCCTTTCCGAGCCTTGCACAATTTTGACGTTTTTCTATTGTAACGGAAACCACTCTTTCACTAGTTTTGAATTCTCCATGTTCCGATTTCCGATTTCCATAAGCTGCTCATTGGAATGCTAAAAAGAATACTTTCATGTTCATTATTTTTGTAACACCTGAGTACTCTTTCTGCGGGGACTTCCCTCTTCTAATGCATTGAGCCAGCTAGCTGCTCGATGAGAAGCCACGCCTATGCAACCAAGAGCCCCGCCCACTTCTGCCTTCTTAATTAAGGTTTATCTGTAAAGGGCAGGAATCGTTTTTTTTGCATTTATTTCAAATGAGTACCCAAGTTGCGAACCTTTTCCATGGTAATGGCGCTGATTTCTGGCTGTACCCAAAAAAATTTGGTCAGAAATGCAACCAAATCGTTTCGTATGCAGAATCAACTCTCGCTCAGTGAATGAGTGTGCTGCTGTCGTGCACATCTATAGGCTAGTGAAGAGAGGCCTCTCTCGCGGCGTGTATGGCGCGGTAAACAATTTATAGGGACTGATAACGTCGTCCCCAGGGAAGTAGTTACGGAGTAGTCGGCGAGGGGTGGAGCATTTCTTTCGTCTTCGTCGTCGTTGACGGCTTTACTCCTTTTGGCACGTACGAGTTGTCCACACAACCTTCAGCTCAACCAATCAAAAGGTCGTTCAGGTGTCCTTGGGAACCCTACTTCAAAGCCTTTTTGAATAATTTTTCTAACTGTTTGTCTACTTTTTCATTTCTGTCCTTTTTCCAGGCTTTACGACAGCGCTGAAAACCTGAACGGCAGGCTGGGTGCGAATTCGACGGCCTCGACGGGCCTTTTGCATAGCCCCGATGGCAACAATACCTTTTCGCCTGGGTAAGTGTTCAGGTTCGATTGTGTCGATCGATATCAATCGATATATTGATTTACAGCAGTTGCAACATGTCGTCGCCGGGTATGAACGAGGGTGGTGCTCAAGTTGGTAACGATTCATTGGATGGTGGTGTTGGTGGTGCAGGTGTATCGAAAAAATCGACAACTCGACGGAATGCCTGGGGCAATCTCAGCTATGCAGACCTGATCACGCAGGCCATTATGCAAAGCCCTGAAAAACGATTGACACTCTCACAAGGTGACGTCATCAATTTTTTTTGCCAGATTTTTCTCTCATTTTTCTCATTGATTGAGTAGTAGAGTGAAATGGCTTCGAAGGGAAGTGAGCTCTGTCTATCCAATGAGGAAGTCGTCGTCGACGACGTCGACGTCGGCGTGTCCAACGGAAAAACAAACGGGGACTGAACTATAGCGCGATAATTGCACCCAGACACACGACGTTTGGGGGGGGGGGCATTTAGGATCCTTCTCTACCGATCAATAATGTGAAGTCTAATTAAGATGGTATTAACCCCTGGTAATCCGGGATTATGTGGGTTTTAAGAAGAAAGTCTTTAGAATGATCCTCACGTGTCTATGTGTCACGGATGTTATGGTGTAGGAGAAATGATGTTGTTCATGATGGGGGAGGAAGGGATTATCACTTAGCCGAAGATAGTGGGGATTTTTGTTGAATACTTCAGCCAGTAGCAATCGTAGGGGTCGTATTTGTGCCGCCTTCAAGGGGCTTCTAGGTCAAAGGGATGGATGCTCCGGGCCCTACGGTTCCCAATGCTCCCCGTGACTTTTCTAACTCCACTTAACCCCAGCTCATACAAAGCGTTGGGATCTGGGAGCGCTGAAAAAAGGTATGGAATGCTAGAACCTGTGAGAAATGGAGTTTAAAGAAGGAGGGAGGCTTTGAAGGACCTAAACATCTCGCAGTAGTGAAAATTTTGGCAATTCTAGCGAATCCACAAGCGTTGTGGTCTCCTAGCCCATTGTTGCTCGCCCGAAACCGTGCCTTTGTAGCACTCCTTTTTAGGTTGCTCAAGTGCGCTACGTGCTAGCCCTAGCCCTACAATGTGAGAACCTCATCAAGGAGATTTACAGGAAAACGTTAGCTAAAGGAAAAGGTCAGCTAGAGGGGTAGGGGAAGAAGGAAGAGGTGGGGACTTGTACGGTTGCACTACGGATCCAAATCCATGTCGGAGGCTGAACGTTTGGAACTTGAGATGATTTATTCTACGCGCGTAAAATCGATAATCCTTTTCAAACAAGTTTAGGAGTTCTAGCTGATGTTTGTTATGGGAACAACTTTAGATGAGGCAGGGACTGACGAAAGAAGTGGGGATAGGGTGGGGCAGGAGCCTAGTAAGCTGATTCAAACTAGGGAATGAATAAGCGGAAGACGGTATCCTTACTGGGAGCGAGAGGACTCTGCTCTGATTCCAACTAAGATACTTGTCTTCGCGATATGGTAATATTAACCTTCAGACTTATAGAATCTCGTCTTTCTTTCGAAACTAATTTTCTAAAGCCTATTTTCATTAACTATTTTAGATTTTGTGTAAAGTATGAATATTGTTTGTTAATGCTTGTTTCACGGGCCGCAGTACGCGATTCGAAAGCTATCACAAGAATGCTGAGTTATGGGCAAAAGTCGGACCACGGGCGGGATTCGAACCCGCATCTTCCGCTTTCCGTGCGAATGCGTTCCCTATTTTCGCACGGAAAGCGGAAGATGCGGGTTCGAATCCCGCCCGTGGTCCGACTTTTGCCCATAACTCAGCATTCTTGTGATAGCTTTCGAATCGCGTACTGCGGCGTTAAACAGCAGTTAACAAACAATATCAGCTTGAAACTTGTAAAAAGCCTTCAGCCTTGCGGTTCACTGCCGATATCGGCTAACCGGCTCATCACGTTGAACGTGTGAGTGCTGTAAGGTTATGGCACAAATAGCCATTGAGCTGAGTGGTCAAAGGTGGCCTCGGTAGCGTAATAGGGAACGCATTCGCACGGAAAGCGGAAGATGCGGGTTCGAATCCCGCCCGTGGTCCGACTTTTGCCCATAACTCAGCATTCTTGTGATAGCTTTTGTGTAAAGTCATCTTTTCAATTTTTTTCTGTATCAGTTCCTCTGTTATCTCTTTGAAGTCTGTCATAAATTTCTTTCCAATCATTTATTTCCTTCTTTTTTTTCTCCGCAAGGCTCGGGAAGTGTTTTCCAGGGGATTTCTGACCGCTAGTCGCTAGTCAAAAAAGGAGCAATTCATTCCTATCTCATAAATAGGCATGATAAAAATTAGCCATTTGGTTTTGCTTCTGCTTCTGGGGTCCTATGTTGGCCCAATAAGGTCGCCTAGGGCTGTTAATGGGGCCATAAAGGTGCTTATGAATCCGCTGAAGCTGACTCATCAAAGGTTTCTACAGTATCAAAAAATGCGTCCAGTTAATTGTAATCGATTACCAGGCTGTTGGCGAGTTCACGTCGTTCATGATCCGTTAGCGCACGACAGCTGTTCTCAGAGGCTTCTTCCTCATCATTCTGTTAACGTTTTGCACTGAACAGCTGGTTGTTCACAACGTGAAGCTGTCGTTTTTCTTTCGTTTTTTCGGGCGCAAAAAAGCAAAAGACGGGGGTGAAATAATTGCATGGATTTTGTTATACTTCCTTGTTCCCTTGGACTCCCTAGGCGATTGATGTCTTCGTCAAAAGAAGCTGTACTCAACACCTGAACGGTTCGCTTTCCATGCGGAATATGGAATTAAGCAGAAATCGATATATCGATCGATTCGGAAGCGCTTTAGGGTCAGCTGAGATTCTTGTATGCTGTAGATAAAGATATCGGTCAGGTATCATTATCATTGAGTATCAGTAATCAACGTCGCTCATTAAATTCGCGTTTTAACGCTGAGAACGGAAATCGATAAAAATCGATCAACCGACAGGTCTGCTTCCTGTGCCGGGTATGAAAATACAAGGAAATCGATAGAGACCGTCTCCATGACACCACAGGACCGATAGGTTTTTGTTGATGGGTTACAGGTGGTTGATAATTCCCTTTAGTGACCGGATTCAAATTTTAACTATAGGAGTAGGAATGCATAGAAAAATCGATATATCGATTGATTTGATGGTACCGCATGATGATGAATTTCTCCGAGCTTCTAACAAGCTTCTTAGGCAGGAGAACGAGCAGTAGGTGCTATAATAGTGCTTTCGAAAGTTGCGTTCCCGCAGCGGCGAAGGATATTGGAATACCTAAAGAGCAATATATCGATTGGATCGGCGCCACCATCTAATAGCGAATCCAGTCAATATATCGATTATCCCAGGAAACCGATATACAGTAAATGATGAGGTTCGGTTAGGTCGTGGAGCTCATAAAGGAGGTCTAGAAAAAACTAAGAGAGGTTGGGGTCATGTAGCGAGCCTGAAGCACCTCGCACAATGTGTCACTCGTTGGTAGTTTTAAAGGCTGCCAAACCGCAAGCGTTCTCGGCCCCTGTCTCGGGCCTGGTTGCGCACAAAATCGTGCTGTCGTAGCTCCTTTTATACGTCCTCTAAGCCTAACCTCCCACAGAATACCTTGGTATGTCAAAAGCATACCAAGGTATTTTGAGAGCCCCATTGAAGAATGTTACCCGCAGGGGATTTGAGGGACTTCTTCAGAATTTTGCCATCAGTA